GAGAATGGAGATTTTGCAATATCCTTCCCCCAGGAGCGGGGAGAGAATGGAGATTTTGCAGTATCCTTTCCCTGGAGTGGGGAGAGAATGGAGATTTTGCAGTATCTTTTCCCTGGAGTGGGGAGAGAATGGAGATTTTGCAATATCCTTCCCCCAGGAGCGGGGAGAGAATGGAGATTTTGCAGTATCCTTTCCCTGGAGTGGGAAGAGAATCGAGATTTTGCAGTATCCTTCCCCTGCCACACTCACCAAGCCATGCCCACAGAACCCATAGTAAAAAAAAAAATGAATTTCACTACTGTCACAGAGAAGAGGGGACTGACTTATTCTCCAAAGCACCAGAAGGCAGGACAATGGGTGGAAGTTTATTGAAGAGATCCACCCTAGAAGCAAGGAGAAATTTTCTGACAGTGAGAACAATTCATCAGTAAAATAGCTTGCCTCCTGGAGTTGTGAGTCCTCCATCACTGGAGGTTTTCCAAAATAGACAATCATTTGACCAGGATGATATAAGGTGTCCTATCTTGAGCAGCAGGTTGGACCACAAGATTTTCAAGGTCCTTTCCAACCCTATGATTCCATTTTCTATGATTTGCCCATCCTTACCTACTGAGTATATGGGAGCAGCATTGAAAAGAGGGCTGTATCTGTGAGTTTCTTGATAGATGTAGAGACCACCATCAGAATGCTGTTAGATGGGCATAGTCCTACTCCAGCAAACTGATTTTCAAGTTCCAACCTTCCCCCCAGACCTACTGTGAAGGTTAGTTACAGAGTCCCAAGGGAGTGGGTGGCATACAAATCTTATTAAAGTTGAAAGTTGAAGTCGTGTCCAATCCATTGCGACCCCATGGACAACGTTCCTCCAGGCCTTCCTGTCCTCTACCTTCCCTCAGAGTCCATTAAAGCTCACACCAACTGCTTGGGTGACTCCATCCAGCCACCTTGTTCTCTGTCATCCCCTTCTTCTTTTGCCCTCCATTGTTCCCAGCATGAGGCTCTTCTCCAGGGAGTCCTTCCTTCTCATTAGGTGGCCAAAGTATTTGAGTTTCAACTTCAGGATCTGTCCTTCCAAAGAGCAGTCAGGGTTGATCTCCTCTAGGACTTACCAGTTTGATCGCCTTGCAGTCCAAGGGACTCGCAGGAGTCTTCTCCAGCACCAGATTTTAATCAAGGGATTAAAAATGATAAAACCAACAATAGCAAGCAATGCAATGAGGCTTTGTTGCAGTGGTGGGATTCAGCCAAGTCTCAACACTTCGGGAGAACCGGTTGTTAACTTTCTGAGCAGTTTGGTGAACTGGTTGTTGGAAGAAATCATTAGGGCAGAGAACCAGTTGTCAAACTATTTGAATCCCACCACTACTTTGTTTATTTTTTGAATATACAACAGCGGTTTGGTTTCATTGACACCGAGACTGCTGATATTTGGTGTGGATTTCACCATCCATTGAGGAGAGCATGTGTCTTTGCTGAGAAAATTATGCTTTGTTGCTTGACAGCTGAAGAAAGGTAACAGCTTTTTATTTCTTCTTCCTAGTACCCAGTGATTGTGGAGTTGTTCCATGACGAAAAAGACCCTGCTCCAGCTGCTCCTCCTGGAAAGAAAACTTCTTCCAAAATCAATATCCGCTCGGCTCGTCCAACTGTAAAAGCAGCCAATAAAGAACACAAGAAAACAGTGGGGCACCAGGTACAAAACTGCCTTTTTTTGGTTCCACCACAAAACCGCGTTCGACTAAAGCGCGCTCGACGAAACCGCGTAGCTGACGTCATCACAGGGCGACAACAGCGCGGAGACAGAAGCATGCTGTAAACACTAAACCTAAAAGTAGCCCCTAACCCTAAACCTATCCCTCCTA